TTTATTAAGCACAAACTCGTGAGTGAACTTGGTGTAAGGGCTGTAAATCACCATGTTGCTGCAAACCCCTGGGCTCACCACAGGCGAGAGTGACCCTTCCTGCTCACTAGTCCCTGTCACGACTGATGTCATGACTGATGGGGCGGAGCAGAGGCTCTGTGGCTCAGGATCTGTGCCTGTGGCTGGAAGGTTGCCGGTTCAAATCCCGTGGCCGGCAGAGGAATCCTACTCCACTGGGCCCCTGAGCAAGACCCTGCACCCCAACTGCTCCAGGGGCGCCATATAAATGGCTGATCCTGCGCTCTGACCCCCAGCTTCTCTCTCCCTGTCTGTGTGGCTCATGGAGAGCAAGCTGGGGTATGCGAAAAGACACATTCCTCATGCAAGAAATTGTATAGGGCCAATAAAGTGATCTCATCTCTTATTTAATATGATGTGATTTCCGAGTCTGGGTGACTGGAGACTGAGCTGTTCTGCTTCCTATGGTCATATATACAGGTTTTTCACATGAAACTCTGTTGAGCAGTATTTCTCATGTTGTGAACACATGTATGTACACAGCGGTCCCCCAGTGTCCCAGATGGTGCGTAATTGCGCATCAATCAAAACCCAGAGTGTCCGGAAAGAATCATTACCTCACTGATACGTTTATGGAGGGGTTGTGAACATTTTCACAAGTCGAGGTGTTTAAAATACGTTTGATTTGAAGGCGTTCTGGGTTTCCCTTGCGAAGATACGGACACAAGAATATTCCTGTGTGATAAAAAAAAATGGCATAAAAACGACATAGTGTAGCCTGTGAAAACATCAAGTGTTCTTGTAACTCTAGGAGGTTTCGTGAAAACGCCACAGGCGGGCCCAAACCGTTCTCGAATTTCAAGCTAACTTTACTGTGGTGTCCTTTGTGCACATTGACACAGTGCTGTGCACTGCTGGACAGGGAAAAAGTCGAATTCCTGACAAAACAAAAAATTGTGCCTCTCCAAAAGTAACTCTCATCTATTCTACAGACCCTCATCCAATAGTACATGAGCATGATTTTGCCAGATAACCTTCTTTGGAGGTGTTGCTGTGCTTTATAAGACCACTTCCTGTTCCCAGACTGGTGCAAACTTCAAAACTACCTCAGATCTACTCTGCAGACCCTCAGCTCATAGAAAATCACCATGGGTTTGTCGGGAAAACGTGAGACCACATTGGCAAAGACACTTCTCTGACACACCCATGTGGAGCAACAACAGAGGCGACTCCAGCACATACTGAAACTGGCCTCGAGCCCAGAGGTCAAGGTCTGTCACAGGTCTATGTCAGGAATCAGGAATCCTGCCCAGCCAATCGGGAGCTTCTCGGCAACAGAGCAGATTATTATTGCAGTTTGTTTTCTCAGATGATGGGAATTGATTAATCATTAATCTTCACATAATTCTGGCCAGGCTATAGCAGAGATAAGATGTCTGAATCAAGGGGAATTCAGACTCCACTGAGTCTCACCCTGTGGTCTGTGTGGGTCCTGATGCCCCAGTATAGTGACGGGGACACTGGACTGTAAACGGGCGCCGTCCTGCGGATGAGACGTCAGACCGAGGTCCTGACTCTCAGTTCAGGAGAATTGTGACCCTTCCTGCTCACTAGTCCCTGTCACGACTGATGTAACGTGATATCCGAGCGAAGAAGTGCAGGTTCTGCAGCAGACATTTCACTGCAGAAACATCCCAGGAGCCGGAATTGAAATGTCTGCAGCTGCGTGCCGTTTCCGCACATAAAGTGTCAGCTGTCCAGTGAGCAGTTTGACTTTGAGATCAGAAGTGTGATTCTTCTTTCCACGTAGAAAATATGACCGAGACCTGGCGACCACGGACTGAAGGGACGAGTGAAGGTTAATTCCATGCTGTGCGTCTGCTGGTGTTCTAATGATCACAAACTGCAGGAGTCTGGGTCAGAACATTTCAGTGGATCTGATCAGAACCTTAATAAACTGAGCACAGTAACATCAAATGATCACTTTATCTGTCCCCAACAATTTCATGTTAGATTTCGATTAAAGAACAGCGTTTGTGCTCAAATATACCAGTCAAGTGGATGTGACAACTAATGCGATACTCAATAGCAGCTCCATGAACATGTATCGCATTACAGTGGCCATTAATAAAATATGATTCATACGGAGATCCTTTGGACAGATAAGCAAACACATCGCTATTTGGGTTTTCGGTGTAGACTATATTTGTGTCTGCACAAGTCTCGTGCACTTGTAGGCACTACATTGGTCGCACTTCATCTGTGGAAAGACATTTTAACCGAGCTCCGAAAGAGAGAAACAGGGCGACAGTGGCTCAGGAGACAAAAGCGCAGGCTCCTTAGAGGAACGACCACAGATGCAGAGAAATTAAGACCGTTTAGGACCCCTTTCGGCAACGTCGATCACTCGGAGGTCTCCAGCTCTGCCCCCGGAGAGACCCATCCAGTAGGTTTCAAAGGTCATTAAAATCATCAGAACTCCTTTGACACTCACAAAAGTCAGGCATTTTAGAGATGATCTGGAACAAAATCATAACATCCTCCCTCCCACAGTTCAGTTAATTGATTAAATTAACTGAATAATTGATCGCTTACCTAAGTGCCTTTCAGGGTGTTGAAGAAAGAACAGGATTGCGGGTGACCAACAGGACGAGCTGCTCTCTCCAGATTCTTTCAGAAGTGCCTCCTTCCTTCTTTGATATAAAAGTTTTAAGGGTGAGCTCAGTGATAAGTCATCTTCACCTGTGAAAACTGTCACTTTCACTTTCTGGAGGCGTTTGTTGAGGTGTAATTGGTCTGTTCCTGGGGTGGAGCTGCTGTCTGAGGGGAGGGGTGCTGTCTGTGCTCTCGTCCAGATTATTGTAATTAACAATATCAGAACTTCTCACCCAGGAGATCCTGTGCTGTATCCTCACAGCCCTTCAGATGCAGAGATTTTAACAGTCTGCAGAGCACAGTGCTCTGTGACAAACTGTAGCAGCTGTATGACTGTTTTAGCTGCGTCTTTGGCGGCCCCTAGTGGCAGCACTGTTGTTACTGCAGCCCCTTCATGAGACGAGGAGGTCTCCAGTGTTCGGACGCATCATTATTTTTTTACGTGATTTGTTATTTCAGGCTCCAGGTTCGTGAGGTAGTATCTTGACTTTTTATTAAATTGAAGCCAGCGGTTTTGAGTCTGTGTCCAGTCAGATACTGGATAATGTTTATGTTCTCTAACTATACTGTAGAACCGAGGTCCTGACTCTCTGTGGTCATTAACAATCCCAGGGTGTCTCTTGAGAAGAGTAGGGGTGTCACCCCGGTGTCCTGGCCAAATTACCCCCCTGGTCTTTACCCATCATGGCCTCCTAATAACCTCCCTCTCTGAACTGGCTTCATCACTCTGTTCTCCTCCCCACTGAGAGCTGGTGTGTGGGGAGAAGACTGGAGCATCATCCAGGTGGGGCTGCACACTGGTGGGGGTAGTGGGATCCCCAGGACCTGTAAAGAGCTGCACACTGGTGGCGGTGGTGGGATCCCCCGTTACCTGCAAAAAGCACTTTGATGGTGAGTGTCCAGATAAATAATAATAATAATAATAATAATAATGATAATAATGATAAGAATTATTATTATTAATGTTTACAAGATACTGATGTATGTGTATCTAGTATGCAAGATGACAGAGGAATCTGTTCTGGAAATAAATGAACAAGCACCAGACTGTGGTGATATTTGTTCCATCAGTGCTGCCTTTATATACCACTCGACCTACATGAAGCTCTGATAACATTCACAGTGGTGAAAATATGACCGTTGTAGAAACCAAGAAATTCGAGCCTGAAGTGTTCGTTCGTCCAGCCAAGCTTTATTGTATGCATACAAGGAACTACAATAAGCACCATAATAGTTCTAGTACCGATTGCAGCTCCAAGTGGATATGGTCCTACAGAACTTAAATATACGTCCCCACCCCTCCTCCTCCCTCCTGTCTTTGATGTAACTGAAGGAAATAGAAACCTTCCTTTGTCATCAGGAGTCTAGTGCAAACATTCACCATTTAGGGTAAGTACAGGGGGAGGAAAAGCCTTTGTGATCAAGCAGGCGCGATGATTACAGTTCAGCATGTAAAAGCCATTAGCAGGCTCCATCACCGTCAATGTGTCCATATATGCTTTCTCTCCTGAGGTTCAGCTTCAGCTGTGACTGAATTTAGCCAGAGGAGGATCTTATAAAAACTGAGGGAAGTGGTTGTCGGATCCTGAGGTAAAAGCGGCTGTATCTGCCGCTATCTAC